AGGGGTGACCAGGGCTGTAGGGGAGGGCAGTTAGGGGAAATCAGGTGGACAGGGGAACAATTGTGCATCAATCAGGCTGGTATGGGAGTGGTTAGGGGGTGACCAGGCTGGCAGGCAGAAGCAGTTAGGGACAATCAGGAAGGCAGTCAGGCGAGCAGTTTGAAGCCAGCAATCATGGATTATGAGAGGGATGTCTGACTGCCTGTTCAGGCCTGATCCCAGTAGATCAGGCCTAAATGGGCAGTTGGAAACCCCTCAAAAGGTCCCAGATTGGAGAGGGTGCAGGCTGGGCTGAGGGACACCCTCCCTTTCCCCCCCGTGCACAAATTGCATTCACCGGCCTCTAGTTTTTAATGTTGGGTATTGATTTATTCTGAAACATTGACACTTTGGTCATTATAATTATGTTTCTCACGTCCAGAGAACCCTCGGATATACACTCACGATTCCCCTGGCTGCTCTGACAGGGTGTTCCCTACATCCCCTTTGAACATACGCAAAAAGGCTCTTTTCTTGAGACCTGTCACAAGTTTCCCATTTCTCTGAAATTCTCTCAGCCTGTGTAATGAATAAGCCTTTACTTCCTCCACAATTCATGGGCAAAGTTCAACTCACTGAATCCCCCTTCCCACTGAATCACCCTCCCCAATGATCCCCCTCCCTCCCACCAGATCCCCCTTCTGCCTAGATTCCCCCTCTCCACTAGAACCCCTTCCCCCTGAATCCTCCTTCCCACTGAATCCCCCTCCTTTCCGCTGAATCCCCCTCCTTCCCATTGATCCCCCTCCTTCCCACGGAATCCCACTCCTTCCCACTGAATCCCTCTCTTTCCCACTGAATCCCCATTCCCACTGGATCCCCCTCCTTCCCACTGATCCCCCTCCCACTGAATCCCCCCCTTCCCACTGAGTCCCCCTCCTTCCCACTGAATCCCCCTTCTTCCCACTGAATCCCCCTCCTTCCCACTGAATCCCCCTCCTTCCCACTGAATCCCCCTCCTTCCCACTGAATCCCCCTCCTTCTCACTGAATCCCCCTCCTTCCCACTGAATCCCACTCCATCCCACTGAATCCCCCTCCTTCTCACTGAATCCCCCTCCTTCCCATTGAATCCCCCTCCTTCCCACTGAATCCCCTTCCTTCCCACTGAATCGCCCTCCTTCCCACTGAATCCCCCTCCTTCCCACTGAATCGCCCCTCCCACTGAATACTCTTTCCCACTGAATCCTCCTCCTCCTCTTAAATGATTTTTTAGAAGCTTTCCATCTTTCTTACTTCCTTTATAGTCATCCAACATTCTGTCTCTTTTACATTAACATAAATCATGTACCACTATCTTTTTGGGTTAAAAATTCCAACACCTTAAGCCAAATGTCAAAAACTATATGAAGTAAACATACAGGTTATCCACACTCTCTAAACAATACATGTGTAAATTCCACACAGAACTTCCCTTTTTATGTCTTTCTCACAGACTATCTCTAAATGTAAAATGACAGCCACACCTCAAACTAGTGACCGAAGCCCTCCCCATACCCAATTGCAGACAATAACCCACAAAAAATCTGAAAAGCCCATCATTAAATAGGATCTTGTTAAGAAATTCCTGTTTTATGTGCCAGCATTCATTTTTACTGAATAAACATTTTCCAGGATGCATCCTGTAGACTGATCTGACCGCATATGCTGTCCACGGAAAACTTCTCCAAATGATGCCCTATGTGATATGCTTATCTGAAAAGCTCTCCTCTGAGCAACATGGAAATAAACCTCTGCTTCGTAAACTCGAGACTTTAAATGCATTAATCCACACAGTTTATGAAATTGCTTTGGACATTTTAAAATCCTTCCTTCAAAAAGAAAACTTTAGCAATCGGTAATAATATTTGTTGCTGAGTTTCATAATGGAGGAGTGCATATCCAGCACAGAACTTCCACAGACCAGAAATGGGGCAGCGTAACAGGAAGTGACGGTATTGGGTAAAGAGTTACTCAGTGGCTAAAAGAAAACGTTCAGAAACTCTATCAAATTATATTATGAGAGAACTATTGTTGTAATAGTTTTATAGCCCAGATAGAAGCGGGGGTGAAACATGTCGGAGACAATACGTTTAGCGGGAGGGAGGGAGGCAGGGGTGGGTGTGCTGGAGGGCTCCAGCTGAGGGCACCTCTCCTGGGCTGGGGGATGATGGCAGCTCCCAGACCAGAATCCCAACTGCAGGACACTAAGGGGCGAGGCTGCTGGGCAGAACCGAGGCCAACTAGAGGGCTGAGGCTCCCTGGCTCAAGTAGCCATTCTTCTCCCAACAATTGCTGCCCTTGTGAAAGCATCAGCTCTGGGGGAGCAGACCTGATTTTTTAAGAGAAGAGGAAAAGCCAGATTTCCCTCATTATCTAGGTTGTCAGCTATGTGAACGGAATAACACACAAACAATTGTATTTGGACTCAATTTGGTCACCGATTAGATCAAACCCAGCAGAGAAGCCACCGGCCCACAGTGCTCTGCTCTGGACCTGCAGCTGCCTGTGATCATTTGATCAAACACGAAAGGGCTTGACTGTCTTTATTTCAAATCCTGACACCAGGAGATGCACCCTAGATCATGAATGGTCCTAGTGGTGCATGGGAACCCTGCCCCTCTCAGTCACAGACATCATGATTAACTCGTTTCTGTACCCAGGGTTTCAGCCCCATCTTTTTGTTCTGTGGATTTCTAACATATTTTCCAGCTCTAATTCTCTCCCACTGTCCTACATTAATCAAAGCTGTAACCCCTGTTGTCTTTGTACTACAGAATCAGAATGTGCCCCTGGCGAGGAACGGGGGAAAAGTCAACAGGAATTAAATTTCAGTGCAACTGTTTACTCAACTGTGGCCTGCAGTTATTGAAATCTTATCCGCGGTTTTGTGTGACTGCCGCGTAATGAATTCAGCATGGCTGTGCTTTCTCACTGCCGCAGTTCTCACTTCAAGTAAAAACCTGCAGAGTAAAGAGGATGCAAACAACCCAGCCCACCATGCCGACACCCGATTTCTCCAAAATGTTTAATTATTGCGTTTCAGTCGGATAGGAGCTGATAACTCTAGCCCACTGGACTTTATGAATGCTGCAGTTTTTCTTATTTCACCTACGGATTTTCTTTTCCCCCCGGCAACCCGCTAAGCCTCCTCCTGCACTCCGGGGAGTGAGCAGCTGTCAGTGCTTTGTTTCAGAAGACCGGCCTGCCCGCCACAATACGCGAGGCGAGAGCCACAATGAGACCCGACTGCTGCTTTCGCCCAAAAACATAGCTGTGGCAGACAGAAATGAAAGTTATAAAAATATTAAAAAATAAGTTTGAAGTAGAATCAAAAGGTATTGGCCTTTATTTGATATCTTTTTCAAAGTGGTTACAAACAAAATATAAAGGAGTGATGTGATAACTAACAACTCTGCTATTGACGTGTTTTAAGGAAGATGTTGTTACAACGCACTTTTATAACTTTTTTCTGTGAAGTTAATTTGTCATTTCTGTTATGAGGGGAGTGTGTGTGTGTGTGTGTGTGTGTGTGTAAAGTTTTTGGCTAACTTACTACTTTGAGATAGTGAATGATTCTGAGTGCTTCAAATAAATTCCAGAAGTTAATTTTCCATTTATTTAATTAATATAGGTTAAACACTGATTACTTGGGCATCATACCACACTGGTCAACAGCCCCACCCCCACTCCTCCAGGAGAAGCACTGAGCTCGGCCTCTGCATGGGAGGGCTCAGAGAATGGCACCCAAACACCAGCCCTTCGTTCTCCATAGATCCATGACCACCTGGGAGCACCGCCTAAGCAAGGCAGGCACAGCACGTGGGTCCTGCCCCCACTACCCAGAGCTTGGCATCAGGCCATGTGGACCCACACGCACAGCCTCCACAGCGTACCCTGCACGTGGCCTGGTCTCTGAGCTTCCCTTTCCTTCTCCTGAAGGTTCTGTGTGCCCGGTGGGTCCCACCGATTCCAATAGACCAGCAATTGAATGACGCCTCATATTTTCAAAAATCCTTAGCAAGAAGAGAATAAAATATGGCGGCATCCCCACGCTTCTCTGGCAGGGTTCCAGGGGAATGTCTGGGAGGCTTGCTTCTCACCTGCCCCCGACAATTTCTGTTTCTGTCATCAAGGCCCAAAATGCATCACTCTTTATCACCTTTTCGCCAAGTGGCACCATAACTTTGTATTGCACCACCGAATCAAGGACTCATAGGGAACAAGGGCCATCCGTTATCCTTAGCAACAACAAGTAACAACCCTGACTCCGAGGAGGCTGGGACCAGGCGCGGCGGGGCAATGCAGCGCCTGTCTGCCTTCTCATCAGCACCGCACCCACAGCCCATTCCCAAAGGCGTTTGGGAATATGTCACCTGTCACTCACACGTGCCCACCACAGGCCACAAGAGTACAGCCTGTGTGACCTGCTGGGAGCCACCACGGAGGGGACACACCGCACGGGCAGGCTGGGCCGCTCCCGGGCAGCCTGCCGCTCTCACACCGTGCCTGTGTGTTACTGTTCTGCCTGTTAACTTACCCGCTTCCACCTGTATTTCTATTTGTTTCTACTTTTATGCACTTAATTTTTCTCTCGTAAAAGCCCTTATTTCCCTCTTACTTCTCGTTCCTTGTTTGGGTTTCTTTTTCATAAGGCTTCCTGAGTCGGCTAGCCATTTCTTTTCCTTTGAGGCACTGTGCAGCCATTTCCAAAGGCGCATTTTACTCGTTTGCTGCCGCACCTGGGCCTCGGAGGGAAGCCAGGGTCCCCTCAGGCCCCCCTGCCCCCCAGCCCCAAGGGGGCTGCCCAGACTCCCAGCTCCCACGGGCTTGGGCATTCATCTCTTAAGCCCAGCACCGGGGCCCTGGCACGTGGTGGCTTAAGAGATACTGCGCACAGCCAGACAGTCAGGTGAAAACGAGGCCTCCACAGCGGCCACGTGGCGGGCACCCACCACCCTCCACGCCGACGCCCCACAGTACCTGCTGCTGCTGCGCGTGGGCCAGGTCGGCCGGCGCCACGTCCACGGCCGCCTCCCCGTTGGCCCGCGCCTCCCGAAGGCTCCCGCACTCTAGCAAGTGGCTGCCGCTGCCGGACCCGTTCTGGATGGCCGAACCATTGCTTTTTGTCTCCGGCCCGGATTCTTGCATCATGACTCAGAAACCTGACGGAGGGTTTCCAGGGCGGAGGGAGAAAGGGGAAAGCAGCTGTTAAAACAGTTGTTGTGCACAAGCAGCAGGGTCCTGCTGCAAATGTTGCCAGAAATCTGTAAACAGTTGTCATGTTCGTTCACTGCGTTTACCCCTCAAGAGCGCTCAGTCTTCGGGTGTCTGAGGATGGAACTGTCAGTCCAAGTTCAAGTTCTAGTAGTACTGTTTCAAATACGTTACCTCTTCCTCTTTAGGAAAAAATATTCTCAGGTGAACCCGGCATCCCGGGTTGAGTTTCTGTGCTCAAACCTGGGTATTTTGCGCAGAAAGCTCCCGTCATTCTAACAGCAGAGGCGGCCTGCATGGCGGCGGCGGCGTGTGCCCTCTGCCTGCGCTCCTCTCAGCGCGCTCCCCCGGGCTCCACCAGCGGCCGCGGCCGCTCGGGAGGAAACGGACAGTCAAAACCAAGATGCAGTTTAAGCTTCGTCCTCCTGGGAGCCACTCAGACACTAAAACTCTTCACCACTGGCCACTCCTTTCCGAGAGAAAAATGTCCCACTCTTCAAACGCTAAACACAGGCAGACTCTGATCTCTGTCTTCTAGTGAAACTGCCCCGAGAATTCCCAGGCCCAGCACGTGCTTCTCCTGCCGGCTTCCCGCCTCTGGCCTGGGTGAGGGTCTGGAAGCCTTGGGTCTCATATTTCTTTTGGAGAAAACCTAGCCTAGGCAGACGGAAGACGGTTCTGAATGTGAAAGTACTTACCATCTAATGAGAGGGGGGGGGGGGAAGCCAGGTAGTATTACCTGTACAAATACATCCCACATTCCACATGTTACTCCCGAGGTACAAAACCATTGGCCCAGAGCCAGCACAGCTCTCGGCGAAGGTGTCCAGCTATGACAACAGACACAATGTTTGCTAACGTCCCTGCCTCCACCTACTGACCACCTGGCCACCGCGCCGCGCCAGCCCCTGCCGCCGAGACCCTCCGCCGTCCTGAGGAGCCCGTGGGCGGGCGAACGCGGGCTCCGGGAGCTTTCTCACGGGCACGGGTCACGGCGGGCGGTGGGGTGGGCCTGTCTCCTGTCAGGTCTTGCCACGCGTGCTCTCAAAGCTGAGGTGCAGTGGGGGTACACAATGAGATGGCAGGGCCATAGCCAAGTTCATGGAGTAGAAGTTCAGGAAGGAAAAACAAGAGTCACAAAAGTAAGTTGACAATTCAAGCATGAAAGCTGAGGAATGCCTGGGTGACCAGAGGGGGTGTGAGATGCCAGCGCAGGGAGGTCAGGTGACCTGGACAGACGCGTGGGCAGCCACAGTGGCAGGTTCCCTCACAGAACTCGCACCAGCAGGAACGTTAAACATGCCGACACAATAGAGGCGGCTGCCTTGGCTCAAAGCCGCACCAAAACCAAGTGGGAGAAGTAAAAGCAGAAAAATTTACGTCTTTCTTCATACACTTCCCGTGAGTGAGTGCACAATATGGCCCCCTGAGCAGAGACTGGGGCCCAGAAGCACTGTGCAGAGTGAGTGCCCTGAAGGGACTGGGCAGGGCGTTTGTTAACAGGTGGGAGACAAACTCAGCAACAGCTGCCTCTCTCCCCTCAGCCGGCTTTCCAGGAATCATAATAGGCCTTTAAACATGGCATCCAAAACCTCACTGCTGCACAGTAAAGAAATCTATCAAAATACAACACAACTTTCTCGGAGATATAAGAACCAGGCCACGCAACTGCCTTGCTCGTTACCAAAAAAGGGGGTCAGCTTGTGAAATGTAGGGAGCCCCTTCTCCATGTTTCCATTCCGATCCTCTAACCTGCCCGTCTGCACAGGAGGGAAAGCAGAGCAGTTGGCACGGAGCCCACCGAACAGGTGGACATGCAATGAGCATGCCTGAAGAAAACACATGTATACACACACACTTACGTTCTGGAAAGCCTGTTCCTGTCAGGGATGGGCCCCAAGGACACGGCACGGACAGGGGCTCTGCCCTCAGGTGAAACGCCAGGGTGCAGACGGGTCTTGCTGCCCTTGGTCGGACAGCGGGGTGGTGCAGGGGGGTGCAGGGGGTGGTGCAGGGGGGTGTGGGGGCCCCGCCCAGGCTGAGGAGAAGGCTCCGCTTCGCGCAGCACCAGAGCAGGCTGCCAGGCCGCGGGTGCGAGCCGCAGGCCCGAGGCCAAGCAGCGGCCTACGGTTGGGGCTGGTGAGAGCGCAGGCTTGGGACCAGCACTGCGTGAGGATTGTTTTGGTCTGAGGATGTCCTTACTTCGCAAGTGCTCGCAGGAGTGTGCAGGCTGGAGATTTAGTTTCCCATCCTCTCCACACCATCAGGAGGGCAGCCCGTTGGGAAGCACGTGAGCTCGCAGGAGGCAGCGGTAGTGCCAGCACACGGGGGGGGGGGGGGGGGGGGGGCAGGCGGAGGACAAGCCTTGGCGCCTGCTCTCAGGGGAGCTTTGCACGCTCCTGGCAAGCCAATGAGAGAGCAAAGGCGGGTGATGTGACCCCGTCGTACAGGGGAGACACCTGGCCAGGGCACGGGGACGCAGCCCTCGTCTCCCCCACTTCAGAGTGAACTTGGCCGTTCAATAAAGGACAGACCTTCCAACATGCAAGCGTGCTGGGCGAGCCCGAGTGCAGGCGCCAGCGGGAACTGAGGCTCCCGCAGCCCCGCGGAGGGGAGCCGGCGAAGAGCATGCGTACAAAGGGGCGAGGGCCGGCCTTCCTCTCCAGCAGCGCTCGTCCTCTTCTCCAGAGGCTCCCAGCTGCCCGGCAACCGGCAGCAGTGTCCCTCGGCAGAGGCAGGGCACCACACGCCGCACCACGCTGCCTGGGGCTGCCGGGACCATTGGGGACCGCCATCCACGGCCTGGCTGCGAAGGCTGGTGCTGGGCGGGCGGGCACGGCCGCCACAGACAGGAGCAGTCCTTTCTCCAGCCCAGCCCTCCAGGAGGCGACCTGTGGCATCACCAGGCTCACCGGGAAGAGCGGATGGAATCACTGACGAGGGCTGAGGCTGGGGTCCCTGGCGTCAGGGAGCTCGGGGGCCCGAGGGCCGCTGCTCCCTGCAGGGACAGTCACCGAGCTTCTGATTCCACAAGATGGGCTACGGCTCAGCACCGGCCTGTTTATTATTGTCTTTGCCAACAGGGCTGCTCTCTGGAAGCATTCTGGAATATTCATAATGTCCAGACCAATGTATTTATAGTAAATTAAAGCACTGCTTTATTATGATGACTACTTCCTTGGTTACAGTGTTGATGCTGAAAATTTAGGGAGAATAGAGCCCTTGCTCTCCTGCCTGTGAAGGTGCCGCTCACAGAAAGTTCAGTCTTGATTCCAGGGCAGTTAATTAAGGGTGACCGAGTCAGGCAGAAGCAAATTAACTTGGCTGATCAATTATTTATATGAAGCAGAATAAATGCCCTTAAAGAACTTGGCTTGTCCATGAAAGGATGTGCAAATTAAACTAAACACACTTTTATAAAATGTATTCCCACTTCCAGGGGGAGAGGGGGAATTTACTGCAGTCACTTTCAGAAAGGGTTCGAGTGGCTACTCGGTCCGATCCTGCCCCATTAGAGAAGCCTCTAAAGAAAAAAGGAAGAAAGGGAGAAAGGAAGAAAAGGGAAGAAGGGAGAGAGGGAGGGAGGGAGGGAGGAGGGAGGGAGGGAGGGAGGGAGGGAGGAAGGAGGGAGGAGGAAGGGAAGGCGAGCAGGAGGAAGAGAGCACTCCAAGAAGAGGGGCTGTGGGCATTTCTGTGGTCTGGAAACACGGAGCGTGTGGCGGGCCCGCACCCGCCTGCCTGCAGAGTGAAGGCGGCGCGGTGAGGATGGGGCGGATCGCTCTAGCGCCTAAGGGCAGTGCTCTGTGGTCACTGTGTCCATCCTGAAGAGCCAAAGTCCTGTGTCCCTGCTCAGGGGCCGGGGTCTGTGTTAAGATAAGGCATCAGGAAGATGACCTGGTTCCCTGGACATGTGCAAGACTAGACCTGGCAACACAGCTCTCAGAGGCTTTAAGGACCAGAGAGCTAGGAGCCCCGCCCCTCTAAGGCACTCGTAGGCAGCCTGGACATGCAGCCAGCCCACTGTGAGCCGCTCCGGGCAGTGCCCATGGAGCAGACGGGGCCTGAGCATGCCGAGCCAGGGCAGAGTGCCACACCGCACAGGGTGAGCCCAGCTCCACGGGGTGGCGGGTGGCAAAGGGCTTGGTGGGACCACGCTGCCCCCCCCCCCCCACAGATGGACTGGGAGCACTTTCTTTCAGGAGGAAAAGGCCGGGGTGGGGGCAAAACAAGAGAAACAGCAACTGCAGCGGCTCCTTTTCCCAGGTGAGATCTGCCCACAGACTGTGAATAAGACACCATAATCCGCTGTCTGCCTCCCCCCCCCCCCCAGCGAAACGCCGCCCCAGAGCCAAGTACAGGGAGGGAAGTCAGGGCGCTGCTGTCAGGAGGACCATCTTCCAAAACCACTGTGCACAGTGAAGCCAGGCCGGTGAGGGCTGATGTTGCAGAGCTGTGACCCACAGCCCAGGGGCCACAATGAATGTAAAGCGCTGCACACACACGCAAGTCCTGGTCTGATGAGGGACGGCTAAAATTAACACCCAATTAATTTCCGAATTGACAAACAAATGAAACCCATAAATCTACTTTCTCATTAATTTTCCTGTGGTATAATTTAAAGCAGTAATATGAGGGCAAAAACTGAGCATTATCCATCATAAATATCAAAAAGATAGCACCGTAACCCCATAAATTATGCATATTACCTGTTGTTAAAAATGATTTATGTATTATCAACTTTATCGTGCACTGTAGAGGTCTAGATCTATCTTTAAAAATCTAGAATTTCATTTAGCATTAAGGAAGAAAAGCTCAGGCGCAATGCAATTGTCAAAGCATGTTTGAAAAAACAGTGGTCACCTTTGTGGCCATGCAGGAGGTCAGGGCAGACCTAGAAGGGCCCAGCAGGCGGCGGGTGGGGCACAGGCAGCCTGCCT